AACCCTAAAGTAGACATGTCACCGTTCAAAACTAAAGCAAATCTCCAAATTCTCTTTACACTCTGCCATATCTGCAAGTGTGATGTATTTGCCATGCACTTTCCAACATTCAACCCTTACCCATGATAAATGTGTCCCTGGGCAACTCTGTATTAAAGCACAGGTGGGGAACTTCCTTGGACAAAAGCCATACTTCAGGGGTGGAGTGTGTGGTTTTTTTTCTGGTTTTTTTCTCCACATCTCAGAAGCCCACTGATGATATAACTGTTTTTGATTTTGGGAGTCTGAGAGATTTAAAAAACAAACACTAATATGTGGACCCTCATAAGACTCAAGCCACATATATAATACAGCACTCCTGAAACCAGTAATCTGAATGGTTACCAGAAGAAAAATGAGGAGAGAAACAGGCTAATGAATCAGATGGGATTTGTGATTCCTCACTTCCTTTTTTACTCTAATGAACTGCTAACACTTTATAACAAAACAATGACATGGAATCGAAAATCATGTCCTAGAAAATCAAGTTGCTAATGTCATTTAGCAGATGATGGCAGCCAAACTAGCTGTGATTGTATCAGTAATTCCTCCTTTACCATATTTATTTTCATTACCTTCAACTTCATCATCATTATCATCATCATGCTACCTAAAAGTTAAGTCACACATTGGGTTAATATCCTTCTTGCCATGGTGAAAGATGCAACTGACAAAACACATTTCTCCTGTTTGGACTAAAGCACGATAATGTAACCCCAGATCCACACCCTGTTAAGCCCAATGAGCCATCAACAGTCATATGAAACCGAAAGGTTAAATAAGGTGACAGTTGAGAGCAAAAGGCATCTCAATAAACATTGCAGAACTATTCTAAAACCAAACACCTTTTTTGCTTTTGCTTTTGGGGTTTGCATCTGACGTTCTTTGCTTATCCCTCCTAAAGTTTCAGGAACTGGATAAATTATTTGGAACAATGCTACATCAGTTATAAGGAACCACCTCTCCTATTTGGGGAGCACCGTATTCCATATTTCAAAACATTAGCCATCCTGTGTTTGTAAAGTTATTGTTCTCTCACAGACTCACAATAGGACAAAAAATCAGTTAGTGATTGCAAAATGTTTCTTTTCACTACATATGCATGTTGCATTTTTGACATCTCACTGTTTTATAGTAATTTTATTAAAAATTACAATTTAAAATATTACAAAGAGAATAAAAGGAAAAAATAGAAAGTGCAGGAAAAAAAAAGAAAAATGGAAAAGAAGGAAAAAATAAGAATATACAATACAGGTAGCCCTTAACTTACAATTGACAGCTTAGCAACCATCCAAAGATATGATGAACCCCCAAATTGGGTTTTATAACTCGCTTTTGAAGTTCTGCCCTTTCCCATGGTCACATGATTGCATTTTTGCCACTTGCAGCACCCTGCAATCACGTGATTGCAATTTATGTTTTTGCTGGAAAGCAGTGTTTATTTCTGGTTTCTGGCAAGTATTGCCCCATGGCAAACAATGGGTTTGCTTTATGACCACATTTGTTTGCCGTAAAAAGGCTGTAAAATCAGGTGCAATCACATGATTCTCAAACCTGTTTTAAATTTCTTTTGCTAAGGGCGGAAGGATGCTATAAAACCTGTCAATCCAAAAGTCCCTGATAACTGAAAAGCAATTAACAATTTCCAAAAGTGAATAGAAAAGAGAATATGCAAACCTAATGCCCTTTTGAAGGTGCCAATCACGATTTCAGCTAAAAGATGGCTGTTGTCTCATCTCCCGGAGCTGTAAACTTTCTTGTGGTCTCCTGCAAGGAGCAACTACCTGGACCACTTGTTGACAATCTCAAATCCTCTTCTTGTTTGTACAGGAATTATAAAGATTCAGTTTATTTTCCAGCTCTTCATTCCACTGCAGTCGTTTTCAGTTTCCCATTACTTTCCCAGAAATTGGCATTGCACTGTTAAAGGCACAATTGACAAGAACTGTACGTCCTGAAAAAAAAAGGATACAAGTTTACACTATGAAATAATATCATATGCTTAATATCATATTTATGATAACCACATACAATTAGCATGTACATGTTGCTTGGCCATTGAGTCATTTCAGTGTTTTCAAATAAGCAACCAAAAGGTATAGTTTGTGTAATTCCCTTAAGAGGAAAGTTATTAATTTTGTTGTCTTCTTTTTAACATGCAAAAAAAAAAAAAAAAAGATAGCATAGATGCATTTAAAACTGTAAATGGTTATAAAGACGTCTATTGATCTTCTGTTCATCTCTCATCTCTCTATACCAGTGATGGTGAACCTTTTCGTGCTCGCGTGCCAAAAGTGTGTGTGTGCCCGTGCACATCACCCATAAGGCAATTCACGCGGGGGGCCCACACCCCCTGTGCATGCACGCATGATCCTCCATGCATGCTGCGCATTTCTGGCCATGCGACCCCACACATCTGCGCATGCACGCATGTCTCCTATGCGTGCCCCACCCCCACACATATGCAGCAGCTACCTGACGATCAGTGGGCGACGCACGCGCCTGCAGACTAGACCTGCTATGGGGCGACGGTTCATGTGCCGGCAGAAATGGCTCTGCGTGCCACTTCTGGCACGCGTGCCATAGGTTCGCCATCACGGCTCTATAATCTCATTTTTCTATCACCTACCACCTTTTTGTCAACAATCACCCTTTTTTCAGTGTACATGTATGTATCTATTCACATATCTTTTTATAATATAAAATACATCTTTTGTCTGTTGTTTACCTAAAAGTGTCTGTAGGTGGTGGTCATATAGATGGGCAGCCCCAACAGTGCGATCAAAGCTTCGCTCATTTGTGTGTATGCATATGTGTGTGTGTGTTTATGTGCAAGACAGAAAAACAACTGGAGCTTTTATTCCACCATGGTTACGACCTTGACTTTTTTTGATCGTGCTCTGTGGACACCCCTGTACTTATCTCTATCATGTAACTATCTCTTATCTCTCTTTTTTTCCCTTCCTTCCATCCATCCATCCACTTATCACCTATTTACCATCTACCTTTCATCTATCTTCCTATCATTTGTCGCTATCTATGCATCCATTTCTCGGCTATTATGTACGTATCACTTCACCTATCTACTATATATCTCTCTTTCCTCTATCTCTCCTTCATCTGTCTACCAGCTGTCTATCGATCCTCGACCCCACCCCACCCCCATTGATCTTCCAATGCGGTGCTCCTTGCAAACGTGCAAGGCTCAGCAGATCTGTCCGTTCTGCAGCTGAGCCGGGATTCCCTTTTCGGAACGGGAGGATTCCTCGTTGATTTGGCGCCCCCGGTGGACAAGAAGGGTCGCTACACCGGCTCAGCCCCCCACCCCACCCCGGTGTCAACGAGACGCCTTTTAAGTACTGCACAAGCAAGAATTCAAACGTGAGACACTGCGGCGCGCGTGCAATGTCTCCGAGACTCTTTGTGGGTGGGTGGCGCTGGGTGGATTTCCAGGGCCAGCGGTGCCAGACAAAATAATAAGGGTTTGTTTGGGGTAAAAGCTGTTCGGGAAGGAGGGTTGGGGTGGGGTGGGGGAGTGGGAAAGGTCTTGAGGTTTCCCTATCTAAAGGAACTGCAGGGATCCTTTGGCAGCATTCAATACGCTCTCGAAATAAAAGCATCCTTTTAAAAATTAAAAAAAGTTCAGCTCCGGGTATTAAGGAGGCTAGACTGCATTCCCTCGGGGAGCGAGGGTCCTGTTGCTTTTCTCTGGGCGATATTTTATAAGGGCGTGCTTTGGTTTGTTTGTTTTTGTTTTTTTATTAATCCCGGGCAGCCGCCGTGCCTCAGGAAAAGTGGCGGCAACCGAGGACGGAACTCCTTATAAATCCTTTCAAATTGGAGGGAATAAATACGCGTGTGCGTGTCCGTGGCAACCTCAAAAAAGGCGGGTGGGCTGCCGCCTTAGGAAAAAGCCCATCCCTACTACCGTGCGGAATTTTTTTTTTCGCTCCTCCCGACTGTAAATCCTATCAAACAGCGCTTCTGGATTACGAGAGAATGAGTAGAAAGGTGCTCCTTGCGTGTGTGTTTTTTTTTTTAAATTATTATTAATCTGAGGGAGCTTTTAATTAACCCTTCGTTGGGGGGGGGAACCATGTGCGAGTTTCTTTTCGGATGCCCCGCTCTTGTCACGCGGCGTCCAAAACGGCATTTCTGAGGCAAGTCGGGCGGGTCTTTGGCGCCAAATTGCTGCAGGTTTGCGAGCTGAGGGGGGGCTGCTGCTAAATGGCGCCGCTTTTTTGGGATGGTGGTGGTGGGATTATTACTGTTTTATTGACATTCGGCGGCGGGGCTTTACCGCCTCAACAAGGAGGGAAGGGGAAAGCCCTCTCCTGCCTGCCGATCATGGCGGCTGCCTTGCGCCCCCGCCCCGCGACTCCCCCGAATTCCCGCTTCCGATGCAGCGCTCAAGCCCTGCTGAGAATGACCTTCCCCACCGCCGCCAGGTTAGCGACGCGCGAGCAAGGCGCGCCCAGGAATTCCCGCCCTGCGCTCGTAAGCGCCCCCCCTCCCCCTCCCCACCCGAAAGTTCCACTGATGCATACCCAAATCCGCCTTCCCTTGATTGGCCGAAGCCAGGCTTTCATTTGAAAGAGCCGCCCCTCTCATTGGCTCCGACGCATGTAGATGAGAGAGCCTTCCTTTCTGTATGTGTGTGTGTGCGCGCGCGCGTGGTTGTTTTTTTTTTTTTCGCTCCTTCGCCGCGCTCCCCCCCCCCTTTTCCCTTCCCCGCCTCATCCTGTGATGAGAATTTTTCAGACAGTAACTCGCCGCGTCTCTTTACTATAAGCAAATAGTCCCTCGCCTCCACCCGGCCGTATTTACAATGGGGCGAGGTTCCGCAGTCCCCTCTTTGGAGCTTTAAAGAGAAGAGGGCGGAGTCTTTCCGGACCTATTCGAAGCGGTGGGAGGAGGGAGGGAGGGAGAGAAAAAGACGCTACCCGCCGATTCCCTCCGGCGGAGGGATACCGACTTGGAGATGCGTGTCTGTTTTTTTTTTTTTTTCCTCCTTCCCCCACCAAAATATTGAGAGTTAAGAGGCCGCTGCTGCGTGCAGCGGAGATCAGAAAGAGAGCGGTGTCAGTCGGAGGCTGAGCTGCTGCTGTTCCTGCCGCCGCCGCCGCCGCTGCTCCACCACGACCGCCTCACTGCGGCGCTACATCCCGGACTGGATTTAATCGATTGCTCGCGTGGGGTTTCTTTGCGCGACACGACCGAAGAAGACACCCGGGGGGGGGCTGGGTTGCCTGCTTGAAAAAAGACCCCGATTCGTCGTCGTTTTTGCCTATTTTTCTTTTTTTCCTAAAATAAAAGATTGGCGTGTGGAATTTTTCCCCCCCTTCTTCTTCTTCTCCTCCCCGTCCCTTTAAGGACACCTATCCGTTTCCCTGGGATTCTCTTGCTGGGCTGCACGGACTTGCAAGTTGCCTTTCGACCCGAAAGAAGAGTGTGTGTGTTCCCGGCGGAGGAGGAAGGGGAGAGAGACCGGGGACGCCGAAGCAGGCAGAGAGGCTTTGCCAAGCGAGGCTTTTTCCCTCCTTCCCGCGATCCGGGGGGGAAGGAGCTGCGCGGCCGGACCCGTCCCGTTGCCCTCAAAACAGCGAGACCGCCCCCCCGGCGGACCGAAAAGAAGCCTTTGCGTCGTGATTATTGTGGGTGGTTGTTGTTGGGGTGGTGTGTTTTTTTTTCCTCCCACCCCCACCACCCCACCTTTTTGTGGTGTCGCTTGGGAAGATGTTACTCTCCAAATTTGGGTCCCTGGCTCATCTTTGCAACCCGACCAGCATGGATCACCTGCCGGTGAAGATCCTCCAGCCAGGTAAACCCCAATTTCTCCGGGGAGTTGCGGCGTTTCCCGCCTCTCTTGGCGGGTGGGGTGGGGGACACGGCCGTGTGTGGCGTTGCTTGCGCGGTTGTGTGTGGGTCTTGTGTGTGTGTGCGTGTGTGAGGTGCGTGACGAGGTTTCCTCTTCCCCTCCCGCGTCAGCCGTGGACGAGGAGCGGTGGTGGATCCCCAGCGATCGACTTGGAGCCGTTCATTCATTTCCCCCTTTTTTAAAAAATAAATAAATCTCAGCCGGGGTTAGGAGGGAGCTGCCTTGTTTCACCCACCCACCCACCCACCCCGGTTATCCTAAACCCGGGAGTTGAGGGCGTTTTGGGAGTGGAGTCTGGCGGGCGAATATTTTGCACCGGAGGATGATGAAGGGGGTGGAAAAAGAAGAAGAAGAATTGGAAAGACGTTTGGCCGAAGGGCTGGCAGATCTTGACCCAGAAAAACCCCGGAGGGAGGGAGGGACTTATTAGACGTTTCCTCGCGGTCAACTTGTACAGCCCCATCCATTAATTCCCAAATCTGGGCTTGGCCGCGCTTTTGATTTGGGTCCGATGTTGCTGGTGACTTTTCAAAAAGAAACGCTGCGGGGGGAGAGAGAGGGGGTCAGCTGCCCCCTTTCCTTCCTCCCCTTCCCACCCTTAGGGCTTTCTCTGCCATCCGTCTTCCTTAACCTCGTTTCTCACCCTTTCTCTTTTTCTTCTTCCCCTCTCCAGTGAAAGTGGAAAAGGAGCCGTTCGATAAAATCTATCAAGTGGGCTCAGTCTTGGGCAGTGGGGGATTTGGCACCGTCTATGCTGGGAACAGGATTGCAGATGGCTTGCCGGTAAGAGGAGGCTCTTGAGCAACACCCCCCACTTCCCTTCCCTTCCCTTCCCTTCTCCGCCCCCAACCACCACGAGGCTTGGGGTGGCTACCCCCACCCACCCACCCATCCCCGTTTTTTGCGTGGCTGGAAATTCCAGCTGTTGGAATCCAGAGCAGAGAAATCCCTGGGCAAGTTCTCTGACGCCAAGCAACAGGCATATCGGACTTGGTTTCCCTTCCTCCATCCCGTTTCCCCCCCTCAAATTCAATTTGCAGATTGGTTTCCCCATAACCTCTTTCTTTTTTTTTTCCCTCCCTGCTTCCAGGTAGCTGTAAAACATGTGGTGAAGGAGCGGGTGACAGAGTGGGGCACAATTGTAAGTATCTAATGATGGATCCCAAAAAAAAAACGTATGTGTGCGCCTGCCTGCCTGCCTGCTTGCACCTTGCAGTAGTTTCCAACTGCTTTTCTCTCCCTGTATCAATAACAGAAGGCTGATGATTGTTTCCATGGATTCCCCTTTTCCCCACCCCACATGCTGCTGCCTCTCCATTCTCTGTTATTGTTTACATTGAGGGGGGGGGGATTTTGGCAAGGTTTCTTCTCCTCCTCCTCTTCCTCTTCCCCCTCTGCCCTCCCCTTTTGACTGCGGCAGCAGAGACACCCAGTGGAGGAGTAGCTGCCGCCTTCCCCATCGGTCTAGCTGCTTAGCCCTCCCCCTTCCCGTCCTCCGCCTGGCTGCTGGAATTTCCATTTTGAGAAAGAAGTGTATGATTTGTTTTTCGGATGGGCAAGGAAGGGGGATTTTCCCTCCTTCCTCCCCCTCCTCCCTTCCCGATAATTCCAAATAATTCATCATGTCTTCTTTTGCTCTTTCTCCCTCTCTCTCTCTCTCTCTCCCTCCTTCCCAACCCCTCCTCCTCCTCCTCGTAGGGTGGAGTAATGGTGCCCTTGGAAATAGTCCTGTTGAAGAAAGTGGGTTCAGGCTTCCGGGGTGTAATTAAGCTGCTTGACTGGTACGAGAGGCCTGATGGCTACCTGATCATCATGGAACGGCCAGACCTGGTGAAGGATCTCTTTGACTTCATAACGGAAAAGGGGGCGCTGGATGAGGACACTGCGAGGGGCTTCTTCCATCAGGTCCTGGAAGCAGTGCGCCACTGTTACAGCTGCGGGGTGGTACACAGAGACATCAAGGACGAGAACCTTCTAGTGGATCTCAGGACAGGAGAACTGAAGCTGATCGATTTTGGGTCTGGAGCCATCCTCAAGGACACAGTCTACACTGACTTTGATGGTACGCGCCCCTCCCAACCGCAGCCGGTTCCCTGTCTCTGTGGGTGGGTGGATGAGTGCTTAATTGGGAATGCATCTCTACACAACCCCCTCGTGCTTAATCACATTCTCACCACCTACGGCCGACAAAATATATATCTTCGTTGCCTAAGTCTGTAGCAGGTTGATAATTAAACCCTTCGCAATGGAGGCAGATGGAAGGGGGGGGGGGGTGTCAAATTGTTTAGGAAAGGAGCAATTCCAGGCAGTGACGCAGCAGTTTATATTTTCCCTGCCTTCAAAAAAATAAAAAAAAATAAAGGCATTTTCCTAGAGGGCGATGTGTTTACAGTTGAGTCAAGCTTGTGTGTTTCCATCTGTGCTTTTTTTTAGTGCTCCCCCCCTCCATACACACAAATACCCGGTTTTCTCCTTTCCCAGCTCCTCATTCCCCTAATGATGTTTTGGAAATCCCGCATTGCAGATTGAGGGACCGGAAGGGGGGGGGGAAACTTCCCCAAAAAGAAGTTTTTCTTTTCCTTTCTTAAAACTTACAGGCTGAAACATAGGTTGCCTCCTTTTGTTGTAAGAAACAGATTATCTCTGCTTTTTGCCTAAGAACAGCAGGGTTTTCTTCCTTTCAAGGTGAAGGTGATCCATGTTAAAGGAGGCACCATTTTCACCTCCCTTCCCTAGTCAGCTGCAGCATTTAACATCTGTTTGTTGTGAAACGAGACTCTCCTGGCCATGTGACCTTCAGCATCACAAATTCCAGTTTTCATTTGGTATCCAAGTAACCACTCGGTGCAGAGGGAGGGCAGTTGCTAACTGCCTTCTTAACGCGCGAGGCAGATTTCACTCCTCTTTTAAAAGGTTACTCTGATTTTCTCTCTCTTTTTATTTATTTTTATTTTTTTAAAAGGGAGTGGCGTACTTTTGGAACTGGCCAAAACTGATTAGTCACATTTAGGAACCAAGGCTAGAGTTTCACCTCCTCCCCCCCCCCCCTTTCCTGCCTCTTTCCTTTCATCCCCTCTTCCTTTGTCCTTTTGTGTCTATTTTTGGTACGGTGCTGCTGCTGCAGACGCCACGTGGTCAAGGAAAGGCAGCTTTATGTTAGTAAACAGTCAGCTGATGGGAAGCTTGTGCTTCTCATCACCACAAAATAGAACGAGCCCGAGGGCCGAGATTAAAACATGATATAATCCCAGGGGTGATGTAAGATCCAGAATTTTCCCATATATGTTTGTGTGCTGGGTGGAGGGTGTTTTTTTTGTTTGTTTGTTTGTTTTTTAAATGGGATTTTCGAAGTGGTAACGTGTAAAATAATGCTCGTCCAAGTCAAAGTTCATCCTGGCTAACAGGGCAGGGGATCTTGTCTTGTCCTCCCCATAGGAACACGAGTGTACAGCCCACCAGAATGGATTCGCTATCACAGATACCACGGGCGATCGGCTACTGTATGGTCACTGGGTGTTTTGCTCTACGACATGGTCTGCGGAGACATCCCTTTTGAGCAAGATGAAGAGATCTTGAGAGGACGCCTGTATTTCAGGAGGCGAATTTCCCTGGGTGAGCTGCAACTTTGCAGATCTCCACGACCCTGTTCCTCTTCCCCACTTAACATTGTTTTGGGGGCTGACCCACTGCCTCTCTTTGTCTTTCAGAATGCCAGCAGCTGATCAAATGGTGCCTTTCTCTGAGGCCTTCAGACAGACCGACCCTGGAGCAAATTTTTGACCACCCGTGGTTACACAAATCCGAAGTGGTGAAGTCAGAAGATTGTGACATAAGGTTACGGACCATTGGCACGGACGTGTCTCGCACAAGTTCAAGCAACGAGAGCCTGTGAAATGCTGAGGACCTTGTAAAGGGAGGGGAGCCACAAGCAGAAAAAAAAATGGGGGGAGTGAAAAGACCAGAGTGCTGCTGCCGCCAATATGGGGCTGGAGAGGGGCGGGGAGAGAAATGCATTAATTATTCTGTACTTTGAATCTTTGTCGGAGGGAATTGATTTTTTTAAAAAATTTTCCCCTTATTGCTGGTTTCTGCTTCAGAAAGAAATGTCCTTTGGAAACGCTAATATATGGGAGTTGGCCAGGCCAGTACTTAACCCAAAAGACTGACCTTAATATTATTATTATTATTTTTTATTATTATTATTATTATTAAGAAAAGCAGTGACCTCTTTAAATAACACGGTAAACCTTTTTGCTCTCATAGAGCCTGGACTAAATTTTATTTGCTTTTTTGAGTGCCTTTTTGAAAGCTGCTTTCAGTGGGACTTTCTTTTTTGAGCTGTGTGTGTCCAAAGAAAGATCCAGTACATTATAGAACCTGCCTTCCCTTCTCCATTCTAGGTGCTGGGGAAGCAGCTCCCTATGATGCGCTAGAAAACATGTTCAGTGACTGAATGAAGTAGTCCCATCAACTGATGATGGAATACTTGAACACAGACATTTCACCACCTTCTTTCCCAGCCTTTTCTCCCTTCTCAAACCCCTCCCTCCCCCAATCTGACCCCAGCAAGACAACTTCTGCTGATCCACACAATATTTCCATAGCCTTCAGGTTATCAGCTCTTTATCAGGAACATTTATCCATATTTCATTTCATCTCTACCACTGGGCACAAGAAAAAAAAGGCCCTTTCTCAGTTCCCCCAACCTCCAAGTCTTAAAAAAAAAACCAGTATGAATGGGCATGTTAAATGCACAATCAATGCAATATTCAAGGACTGTGTGCGTGTGGGTTTTTTTTTCTTCCTTTTCCCATTACCTGTATAATGTGTTTATGTAAATTTCCCCCCCTGTACTATACAATTTTTATTTATTGTCTGGAGTTTAGAAAACCTCTCACAGACTCGGCTGTGGCTATTTATTTTAGCTAATTTATTTGTTTAGAATTATGCAACACTGCTTTTTATCTCTCTTCTGTTGTGGAGATTTCTCTGGGATCAGTCGACAATTATTTTTGCATTCCTGTCTTTTCCTCTTTTGGGGGTTAGGGGTGGGGTTGTTGACAAAGAAATATATAAAGCCTGACCATACCTGTTCTTTTTTTCCTTCATTTTTGGTTGGAAGATAGAAAAATGTTGTACAAAGTCTAATTTAAGGGAATTAGAATGACTTTAAAAGTTAGTATGCCTTTTTTCGTCTGGTATTATTGACATACCAGAACTGTAAAGTAATACTGTTTTTGAAGGGTTTTAAATTATTGACATTGTACAGTCTTTGTGCATTGGCTCTGGAAGGAAGAGTGGCAGAGTCATAAACCTTAATTTATTTTAATAGATGTGTGTTCTGTGATCTGGTTGCACTTACGCAGCTTGGATTTGGATTTTTTTTTTCCTTCTGTTTAACAGTGTGAGATGTATGGAGATCATATTTTTTATACAGGTATTTCAATTAAAAATTTTTGTAGATAAATGGCACAATGTGTTCATTTGAGTTCAATAGTGGCACTTCAGAGGAAGCACCTTGACACATTTGTACAGATCTACACAGAAGTTCCACCAATGTCAGTAGCAATCTGGATAGAGGACTGCAATCTTCACGCATCGTCTGTCCACGGATAGGAGTGATCCTCAATAAATCAGGATTGGCTAATGCGGAAGTTCCCTGCTCTTTGGAGTTGGGGAATACATGTAAAAGTTTTCAGAGACCATCACAGATACCCTTGACAAAGAGGTTGCCGTAGTGACAAGTGTGAAGTACACATCCCCTCTAGCTCCCAAAATGCTCTTTACCACTTGTTTCCCTTCACCTTTTCTGGGTAGGTGCTCCACTTCCAAACAATGTACCGAAATGTAGGCGCCTATCAGCTTGTCTTCCAAGAATGCTTCTGGGAGTCTGCTTAGGGGCAAGAGATGTTTCGAGAACTACAGTTTCCAAAGTTCAGGTGGCCTGTTGTTTTTTAATTATAAACCTTAAATGTGTGTCATGGACCTTGATGGGGTAGGACTCCCAATGGGGAGTCAAGTCAGGATGGTCACAATTGCAAAACTGAAACCACCCCCACCACAATTGATTTGCCTGTGTCATGTTTTTTAGACATGCAGTTGTGGGTGCCATGTTGACTTTTCACAATCTTCCCCCCCAAATGGTTCCCTCTGCCAGTAGTGTGTGGTGACGTAGGTATCACACTGAACTCCATTGTTGCCTATATTGGAGACTTGGAATAAAATACAGGCTCATGGGGATATTGCTGACAACTAGGTTATCCAACTCCTTCATCCATGGCTTGTAACCATTTATGGTGTCCTTATTTGTTCTCTAAAGTGAACAGATTTGGGCAACTTAACAAAGTAATTCCCACGTACTCATAATACCTGGGCACTGTATGTCATAAAAAGGGGTGGACCTTTTATTGACCAATCATGCCTGCCATTTCGGTGCTGCTGACCCACCCGGTATGAAACTCCTGCAAATCCCACATTTGTAATTCCAAATATTCATTTTGGATGTTCTTAAATGCTCTTCTCATTCTGTAGCCCTCCAGGTGGATTGAATGATGGTGAAGGCACCGGGTTGGGGAATGCTCCAGAGGCAAAACTATACGTGATAGACCTGTTTTGAGACAGGACTCTCATATTTTCTTTAGATAGGTTTGCACAACATGCTAAGCCAGAAAGTCTGGCGAGCATGCAGGTGCCTTAATTTTATCCTGTACGACATGCAGCTTTGTAATCAACAACTTAGGTTTATCAGGTTGTCCAATCCCCAAAAATATTCCCTTATTAGAATTACATGCTTGTGAATATGAAAGCAAAGTTTCAAAATTCTCAAACTTCCACTTCAAACTTCATATACCATTGTAAGTTAAAGTCTGTTTAAAGACTTGGGGTAGAGGCAGATAAGACCATGTGCAGACTTTTCCATGAGCAGAATATCCTGTTCTATTCATGCATCTGCCAGAGCTTTTTATATTTTTTAACCAATCGGATCTGATTCTCAGCAATATACACATGCAAGGTTTATGTTAGGATTCTTCCCAATAGCAGTAGCCTCATATAACAGGGTTGGGTTGAACCACCTTCTCCAGACAGACTAGCTTTCATATGCAACAAATTTCCTTACTTGAAAGAAAATCCAGATGAGGACTGCTAATCTGCATTCTAGAGCAGATGGGGGCCAAGTCTTGCTATTTTTGCTTACTCTGAGTGGCTCTTCGGAGGTCTTCCTAGCACTGTACTGCGTAACCTCCTATCATGTTGGAAACTCTCTTCAGTAGCTACAAAGATCCCTTGCTTAATTTAGCACGGCTAATGTATCAGGACTACTGTGGCATTACAAGGCTTGCATACTTTTCTATTGTGAAAATAGAATGACCCAAGAAGATTCTGGTATCATGGAGCAATAACAAGGAAAGGAGGCTGGATATAACAGAAGATTACCCTAAATGTCTGCTTTGTTAAGCAGTATTTCAAAATCCAATTGCTGAATATTAGAATGCCTGCTTCCATACTATACAACGATAAACCTGCTAACTTCTAGCTCAATGGATTTTCAGTCTATTTAAATAATCCCCTTGGAGAAAATTATAGGAACAAGAAGTTTGACAGGTTTTTTTTCTTTATTATTATTATTATTATTATTATTATTATTATTATTATTATTATT